GCTGTGGGATCAGACTGAGGGGTGACTGTGGGGTTGTGGGATCAGACTGAGGGGTGATTGTGGGGCTGTGGGATCAGACTGAGGGGTGATTGTGGAGGAATTCTGGGGGGACTATGGGGTGATTGTGGGGCTGTGGGACTGTGGGAGCTCACCTCAGCTGGCGCTAGTGCAAGAAGTTGTCGATCCTGGCGAAGGAGCAGGAGCCGGAGCGCACACGGGCCATCAGCTGGACACACTCGGTGGCCTGGCCCAGCGCCAGCATCAGGGGGGGCTGCTTCGGCAGGTTCTGGGACTCTGGGGAGGGGCAGAAGCACAGGACTGAAAAGACCCCCGACTCTTTCAGGGCTCCCCAGCCCTCTTTCCAACCGAGCTCCTTCCCCTGCTGAATCCTGACATGTTTTTGTTTCTGCTCAGAATTTGAAGGTCTTGATTTACCTATTAAAATAGTTAAGTCACCTCCTACGCATTCAGGACCTGAAGAACATGAAAGAGCGCCGGTTCACCCTTTCATCAGGTCTTCTAAGGGTTCGATTATGTAAAGGAGAACCCAGCTGGTAGGAACAGCGGAAGGGGTGGGGGCCGCAGACCTGTGCTGTGTCCTCACTCTCCCTTGTCACCACCCTGATGAGCAGACGCCCCCCCCCCTCCGGGTCTTCAACGAGCCGTCTCACCTGGGCCCCCAGCCAGGGAAAACGGGTGTCCCTGGCACTGCTGGAGCAGGGAGTGGAAAGGGAAACTCAAAGCCGCGGCTCTGGAGCTCAGTGTTGGCGGCCTGGGCCCCAGCTCTTACCCAGGATGGCGCTGTTGAGAGCGGAACAGATGGATTCCCTCTGCATGGGGTCCAGCTGCTGCCCCACCGGGCAGTTCCAGGGGTCCGAATACGCCAACAGGCTGAACGCATCCTGCAAGACAGACCAACACTGCAGAGCCCACAACCCCACTTCCACCCGCGCCCCTGTGGCGGCTATCGAAGGCGCCCACTGTCCTGACATACTGAGCCCCATCAGCGTGGGGTGTGTCCTCCCAGCAGGCCTAGACAGCCCAGACAAGGACACAGGATCAAAATCACTGGGACGGACAGATTTCCCAGCACACAAATCCTTCTGTTTTGTGCACTCAGAGCGTCTTAGCGATGTATGCAAGCGTCACACAGAAGGCGGTGTTTGGATTTGGAAGTGTTTCTCCCCTGCACTGCTCGCTAGCGCCACCGTGAGCCCCCATGCTGCCGCCCGGACTCGTACCTGCAGCATCTTCTTGTGCGTGGTGTTTTTGCCATATTCCCGGCCCAGTTTCTCGTTGAGGGCCTGCAGCTCGCGGCCAAACTGAATCATCCGCTCCGTGGCAGCCTGGTTGCCTCCGCACAGCTGCCTGGGTGCACAGCTGTCCTCTGGCAAGTGGGCGGAACAGCAGAGGTCAAGGGTTAAAGGGTAAAGAAAAGGGCAAAGCAAGTCACCTGACGAGCACTTCTCAAGCTGACTCAGCTTAGGACACTTCTCTGCCACAGGCCCAACCCCATCTCCCTCCTCTCTCTCGCTGCTAACTGAACAGTAGTATTTCTACTACTAATAATAATTTCCTTGCAACTATACTGCAATTTTCATCACAGAATGCAGCCCCACCTGGGTGACACAGCAGCTATTCTGCAGCAGCAGCCCCTCTTACACAGCAGATCAGGGGAAAGGGACAACCTGTTTCACAAACTGAATTAAGGGGGAGCTTTAGGCAGGTCAGGCTACTCAAGGCGAGTGGAGGGTAGACAGGTCACCATGGTTACGCCCCTGATCCTTTGAATAGAAGACCAGAGCACACCTGCCATGCCGTTCCCCACACTGGACTCGTCTGTCTGCAGGATCTCCTCATGCTTGTAGGTACCGTTCATTATCCGAGAGGAGTTCTCCAGGACCCCGTTGGTGTAGTGCTCAGGCTCGATCTCCATTTCACTGTCACTGGAAATCAAAGACGTGCAAACAACTATTTGTTTTCTCGTTATCCTTTAAAGTTTTCATTTATTTCATACAGAAATCGAACAGCAAATGCAGTTCCTTCCACTGGAATATTCTTGCAGAACAGCTAGTGACAGAGGTCACACGATGCAAACCTCCACAGTGAACACTAGGGGGAGTACAGAAGTATACTCCTCATTTTGTCACGATTCCAAAATCCCAATAGATATGGAAAAGACAAGAAAGCCTTCTTTGAACAAGCAAGTTTCTGAATTTTCTTCATAATTTAGCATATTACTGCTTACAAATCCACTTACAAGTCCACTGTACCTGCTTCTGAACTCTTACAAATATACACCGGTTGAAAAGATGGCTCTCTCGTTAACAAATTTTAGAATCCTAATGATGTTGTATTCTGCTCCCAGAAAAAAATAGCACAAGCACTACACTGCATAAGCTAATTTAGATAGGTTAATTCATTGAAGTTATTTCATCAGAAAATTAAGTAAATCTATTAAAAACATTTCCTTAAAAATCTGTTCACAGAGGAAATTACCGTTGTTCAATTCCAACTCTTTCAACTGTTCCCATATTTTCTTACGTTTAGAAAATCTGAAGCCGACACTGCAGGGCCAGTGTGAGACCTCGCACAGCCCCCAGCTGGGCGTCTGGATCACTGACCAGCCGACAGCTGCAGGAGCCAGACTGGCCCCATGTGCCCTGCTCACCTTGTCTCTTGATTGCTGGTGCTGCTGTGCGGCTGGGACTTGGTGGAGTCTGTGGAGTTGGACTCGGAGTAGTTGACTGAGGAAGGGGAGGAGGAGGAAGAGGAGGAGGTGGAGCTGAGCCCGGGGTATTTACTGTGGTTCTGTTTGCTCTTCCCCGGAGCCACCCCATTGCTGCAGGTAGGACTGTCTGCTCCTGGCAGCAAGAGGAAATGTCCATGAGGCACAGGGCACAGACTGCACAGCAATCGCTAACACACACACTGACACACCCTAAACACACACAGAACAGTCCATGTCTCTCTCGCAACACAACACACAAGCATCAAAGCAGAACATAGCGGAGGAGCTCCTCTGTGGTTCATTCAATAGCTCCACTTGCTTGGTTTCAGGCCGAGCCCCTCATCTCCTGAGTTATGCCCTCCACTGACTACGGCTGCAATTCCACAACAGCTACAGGCTGGCCTGGATATCCTTGCTTGGAAACCCAGCAACACAGTCAATATGCCGGCAGCCCCTGTGATCCTGCGGGGCTGTATGGAGAGACGCATTGCTAACTGCCCTGTAAGAGACAGCCTCGGGGGCTCACAAGGCCCTGGCAGCTGCACATTCCCTTTGTGTCGACACAGGAGTTGCAGGAGTTGATGAGCAGCTGGCCTGTTCCAGTTGGGAAGACCCCCCCCCAAAAAAGACAAAAACCTAGCAGTGCCCAGTTTTAAAGAAATCACATGACTTCTCGCTGTTGCCCCCTGTAATACGACCATGCAAAGGGCAGGTGGGCTCAGAGGCCCAGAGCTGTGCCGCCGTACCTGTGGCGTGGAGGTGTGGGTTGGCTGCCCCGTGCCGTGGGCTCAGGCTGGGCGAGCAGGGGTAGCTGTCCTGCGACTTGGGGGAGCGACTGCTGAAGCAGCGGACCTCGCTGTCCGTGCCGTTCACCATCTCCACAAACTGCCGGCACCTGGGGGGGCGACAGGGACCGTGAGGCCTCACGCCAGGCCCTGCCCTTTCCACCTGCTGACCCCTGACCCCTGACCCCTGACCCAGGACAGCAGGCCTGACCTCCGTACAGACGCACAGAACGGCCCCTGCAGACTTTCTGGCAGAAACTCTCAAATTAAAGTGCTTCTGTTTCAGAAACGCGAGCTCCCTCCTCGAACCAAAGGAAGGAAGGAAACAATTACTGTACTTTTCATTACTGATGGTAATATGTCATTATATCCTAATTTGAAATGAGTCCAAAAAAGCAGTAGAAGATGAAAGCTGTAAAATTAATCAAGCTTGTCGTACATGCTCGGAGGCGCCCACAAATTAATCTGACAAGTTAACTGGGCTTGCACACATACTGTAACTCGAGACGGCGTTTTCAAACCAGATGCACAAACACTACTTCAAGCCACCACTCAAAACAATTCATTCAAAAGGCAAACTCTTTCCATGTGTTCTGGGTTTTCTAAATTACTAAGGCTTCCATGAGGCTTTCCTCTAATTTTCTGCCTTCCTTTTCAGAAGGGCTCCAGTAAGTAACGCGATCCCCAGGTGCAAGAATATCCATCACGGCGCTCTCAGTGCAGCTGGGATTGCTCGCACTGTTGCTTCGCCCGAGTTTAATTCTGAGGAAAACGTCTTTTGAAGGGAGGGAGCCTCACTCGGTAGGGCCCTAGGGTCTGAGACCAGCCTTGATCAGGCTGGGACATCTGCTGTAATCTTGCGGTTCGGAGAGGGCAGAAACGCTGCTCCGCCCCGGCCCTGGCCCACAGGCCCCCTGCCGGGCCCGGGGGGCTCCTGGGAGACTGCTCCTTCGCTCATTTTACCATCACGCCTAAATAAAGTACGTCAGCTGTGCTCTAGTCCGATGCGACCGTTGGACGCGACTTTATCCTTTTCGTTCTCTCTCACTCTCAAAAAAAAAAAGACTAACACATTTTTTTAAAAACCACACCAAGTGCAGCTTCTGAAGCCGGCCCTCATTTCCTCGTATTGTCCCAACTGTGAAAGTCCCCCTGTAACTCACTTCCATGCCCTGTGTTTGTTTTATTCCAGCCCAGCGTTGCTTCAGTCACAAATTCACCATTTGGCTGCTTTCCCGATAACGGCTCTGAGCTCCAAAACCTTTGGCCACTTTTCAGTCAATAACTTTGGTCTGTGTGCTTTACAAAACCGCGCAATACGGGGAATTGTGAGACTTACTTTAACATGAATAGTAAATTAGGGTTGTGCTCTAAAAGTCCGGGATACAGCTGTTGTGTCGCCTCTATGGCTTCTCCAACCCTGCCCGCTAATACTAACTTCTGTATTCCTGTAAAGCAAAAAAAAGAGCACAGGTCAGAGTAGAGCAGTCACTCCGCCACAGTGAGCAGCACACCCTGCCACACCAGGAAGAGCTACTGGGATGGATAATCCAGTTAACACAGATGATCAAAGTGAACAAGCAGTCGCTGTTCAGGACATTTCAATGAACAACAACAAAAAAAACATAAGTTTTCATAATTTTGTTCACATATCGTTAATGCAGCATTTTCTTTTCAGAGTCAGAGAGTTGAACAGCGAGTACAGTCAGGAAACTCGGTGGTGCCGTCTCCACCGACAGCTGACAGGAAGCATAACAGAGGCCTGTCAGACAGCGCAGTTGAAGGTGGGTGCGTGGGAGTCTTACTCTGTCTGTTCTTTATTGAAGACTGCTCCTCTTGAATCATGGTTTCTGTGGCCCGCGCAAAGGCAGTAGCTGTAGCACAGTACCCATGATGCACCAGGTAGCTAGACACCATACTGGGAGAACACGAAGAAGCAGTGTCATTAAAATGAAAGCAGAACCGTGGATGAATGGCACAGAAACGCACTTACAACAAATTGCTTTAACAGATTACCAGGAATTGTTGTATTAATTCACTGTATTTGTACTGTCTTTAATAATAATAATAATAATAATAATAATAATAATAATAATAACAACAACAACATCACTTTATTAACCCTTTACAATTTCTTGCATTAGGAATGATCTCTTCACAGACCCCAGCTTGCTCTCCATGAGACACACAGACACACAGACAGGGAGAGAGCCTGGGGTCAGAGCACAGGGTCAGCCATTGTACGGCGCCCCTGGAGCAGTTGGGGTTAAGGGCCTTGCTCAGGGGCCCAACGGAGAGGGATTCCTCTGCCAGCTGCAGGATTTGAACTGGCAACCTTCCAGCCACAGGTGCAGATCCTTATCTGGTTCTGTGACCCCCTTCGGCTTTCCTACATCTAATATCTCCTCTAAATGTGTGTAAAGTGCTTTGAGCAGCCACTTTTAAGGCGCTATATGAAATAAAGTTTATTATCCTTTCCGAAATTCCCTTATTATCATATGCAAAAAGGCTTTTTCCTTCTTTTCCTCAAGTCCACCTCAGACTTGAACTACTTTGATAAAATTAGCAATCTAAGTACAGTACTCAGAGTCTTAGCCAGTCCATCACTGACAGCATAATACACAAATTAGAACAACATCTAAATTATTGCTGTGCAAAATGACACTAAATCACTACATCAAGGGGCCCAAACACAGTGAATGCACAGCATAACTAGCATTAGAGTTACTCAACTATACCTTTACTATATTTGTACTTTTATTACAACTCATCTTTCCTTCTAAACATCTTAAGCTAAAAAAACAACCGGACGTGAAGCTGTTCCAAGGCACAAAGGAAAGAAGGTCAGAGTGCCCCCTGTCTGCGGTCTCTTACTTCTGCAGCACGGTTTGCCACTCGCCCAGCCTCTCTCCGATGGGGAAGCGCGCGATCATGCTGTGGATCTTGGCTCTCCACTCGCTCATGTAGTCCTCAATGTCGAACACGAAGGGCTGCTGCCCGAAGTTGGCGTCTACGATCTCGCCAGGCGTCTGCAGGCCCACCGTTGGGTACAGATTGGGCTGGGAGGGGCGGAGGGAGGGGGCACAACGATAAGACGCCCTGTCATGCACCGGCGGTGATCCCACAACCCCAAGACCGCGCTCAGTGACTCTTGGCCCTGCGTCGGAGTGATGCATATCACTGATAGCTTTTAACCTGACTCCATGCTCAAGTCAGCCAAGCATGGAACCTTTTTTTTATTTAGACTTTAAAAGGGGAGCTGCAGTCCCAATTTCTCAGACCGGTTATTAAATCTGGATAACAAAATAAATTAATTGACATTATAGAAAAAACAAAATTAGAAATTGCGCATTAAGCACAAAATCGTGATCTTTATGAATGAAGTGTAAGTCGCCATGTTGTGGCAAAGCACTGGTCTCGCCATGGGCAAGTCCGAGCTGGCTCACTGCAATGTGAAGCGGCCCTTCGCGCTCACTAGTCTCTGTATTGACTAATCTGAGGCACAGGTGAATAAGTACAGGTTGTGCAGCAGACATTTCACCACAGAAATGTTCCAATGTGACCAGCTGCCAGATTTAACAAGTAGTATTTGTCGGCAAAAACCGTCTGGAAGTGGAGAGCAGTATTTCAATTGAATTAAAAGAGCGATATTCGGCAGCCCGCTTGTTTACAATGTCATTAGGCCGCTCCACGTCACCAGAAGCTTTATTGCCTCATTCTGAATCACAGAACATGGCACTGAGCACACCTGGAAATGTCGTCTACGTTGTGATGCAAACTGGAGATTCTACAAGTTACCGTGTACATTTGACTTTTATTGCGGTTTGAAATCCTCTCATCAATGCTGATGCTTTCTAACCCTGAAACATGAAAATTGCATTGCAGCTCCCCTTCAAATTCAGGTCCTCCTGATCTGGATTCGTCAGCTGCGAGTGCATCTCATGTCGGCTCACTGGGACACCGAGGAAGGGAGTGCAGGCAGACTCTCCCAACACGCTTGTTGCCAGATGGGGCACACGGCCTGCCCCCCTGGTCTGGTTTTTAACCTGCGCTGCTCTGCGACCGGAGGAGAGATGCACCCCCTGCCGACAGCACCCCAGAGGTCGCCCAGGGGTCGCCGTGCTACTGGGAGCTGAGAGAGCCCTGCCGATTCATTTCAACTGCTCCCTGGGCGGAACTTAACCCATTGTGTGCTGCTGCTCAGGGAATTCCAGTCACAATCGACTGGCCATGCCCAGGCTCGAACCCGTGACACCTGGATCATAGAACTCAGCCTGCATTCAGGAATCAGGTTTACTGTGTAGGGCAAGCAGACTCAGTGCCTACGAGAGGTGTCACGAAGCAAAAGAAAAAACGTCCATTTGCAAATAATTCTGTGATTAATTCTTACAGTCTCTCTTAACAAATCAGGCTGGTATTTTGAAGCTAAACCCAGGCTTTCAATATCTAAGACCTGCCACTGCTTTAGAGTGTGATAACGTTAAAAGCTCTCTAAAAAATAAAATTTAGTGATTCATAGAAGAATGAAGGATGTATTGAAAAAGTCAGCAATACTTACAGGAAGGTCTGTGAATGCTATACCTGTAAAACATATGAGAGTGTGAATTAGTTCTGGCTGCTTCACATCATCAGTCATCAGAAAAACACATACAGCTATTTTTTTTTTTAAAGATGTCCATTTTCCATTTCACAAGGAACAATGTTATTGCACAAATGGCACATGAAGCATCACCCACCTAGACTGTGCCCGTTCTTGGTGTAGAAACAGGTGTTGTTGATGAGGTTGACGCAGCAGCCAATCACATCGCCCGTTGTGAAGGTGGGGCCGTACGGTTGGCCAGTCCCTGATGAGCAGAAGGAGTGTCCATCATCTCCATGGTAACCATACGAGTGTTTATCCCAACCTGTGGCAGCAAAAAGGAAAGGAGAACAAATACTGTACCTGCGACAAGTAAACGTACCTCGCAAACAAATTCAGCAGTTTTTAAACTGTCTTATCTCAAGCTCGGGTCAGCCAGAAGTTTAAGCAGAATGGTGACGATTCAGCTGGGTCTAGCAGAAACATTTCAGACTGAGGAAACAGCCACTAGAACAGAAGAATGTGCTATAACTTTAAGATTTAAACTCAGACGCCAAAATGCAAAAAAAAAACTGATTATAAAAACTCAACACCACGGATCGCTGAGGTGTTCAGCTGTGGAACTATGTCTATGAAGACCCTTTAGCCTATCTAACCCATTTGTCAGTCAGTAGTTAATTGATAGCCCGTTTCTTGAAAGAAACCAGGGTAGCGGCTTCAGCAACCTGGCCAGGTAACCTGATCCACACCCCCACACCCCTTTGTGTAAACAAGTCTCCTCTTCCACACAGCACTTGCACATGCAGTAGATTCCACTATTTCCCATAGGTTTGTGTGTCACTGTTGGTAGATGTAGGTATCTTTCATAGATAAATCTTAAATAAAGTCATATAAAATGGTAGTTAGCAGATTTGTGTTTCACTGTTAAGATAATGGTACGAGAGCTGTTAAAGAAGACCAGTTACTACATTTCTCATGCCTATTCATTAAAAGCCAGGATCGTTTAATAAGAAGGTGTGTGCACTGCCTGCAGGGCCTCCAGCTGTTACCACAGGCTGCTCAGATGGACGCAGGCTGGTCAGGCCCAGGAGGAGCCTGCTGGGAAGAGTGCCAAAGAGAATTTCCTTTGCCTCTTCGATGTGTCTGCAGGACCGCGTTGCTGCTTTCAGCCAGGCAGGCCCCGGTCCTGCACACTGCAAAGTGTCACGTTACACCAGCCCCGTGCAAACAGGCCAAGACTAAATATATCTCCTGACCAAATTAGTCTCCTCCAGCACCCAGCACAGCCCCAGCATGCACAGCGGAGGAGCGGGAGAGGGGCGAGAAACGCTGAGCTGAACTTGTGTCTGGTTCCCAACATTTCGACATCTGTCTCGCTCCGCTACGGCTTCCCGCACTGACAGAGGGCCTGCTGCCCTCATCGCGCCACAGTCTCGCGATTGGTTACGTCGCTTGGCCACTCGCACACTGCAGCGCACGGCAGCACACGGAGAGAGTCCAGGTGGCTGAGTGCATGCTTGAGCCGCCACAAGAACAGGGTCTTGAAAACGTGCAGTGAAACTAGGAAAATCCCCCAAAATTGCCAAGTTATTCCTAAAACTTAAGAGGTGTTCCTTACAGGATAAGGCCTCACGTCATCAGTACCCAAATGTCGTGCAACAGCAGCTCTGAAAGGAAGATTTCAATGTGAACTGTTAAACGCCTTGGGGCAACCTTGTTGTGAAAAGCACTATATCAAAATAAACTGAACTGAATTGAACTGGCAATGGGGACCAGAAAGTGACACTTTTTACTGGGCTGAAGCACAGTATGTTTTTAAAAGCAGCTAAGGCTGGGTTATATTTTACACCTCGGTGACAGCAATCGGAAATACAGGAGGTTTTTAGATTCCCCCCCCGTAACACCTCCTCACAAAATCGAGGGGACTGACTAACAGGAAAGCCGAATCCCTTCATAGCACAATACCTAATCTCTGGTTTGAGTCACTACAAAAACAAAACAGTCACAACAAATGGGTCGAGTTTGAATGCAGGGCACTGCATGGGCCGATCGCTACTGTATCGCAGGCTGCGAGATTGCTCCTCAGGCCCTGTGCAACAGATTTTCCACTGAGCGCACCGAAAAGGGCCAGCTTCCACTGTGGGACAGGAAAGCCTCCGAGGGCAGAGACGGATCTCGAACAGCATCTTTCCTGCCCAAAAAGCATTTGACAATTTCCCCGTTTCACAAAACAACTCGACTGAACTCGAGTGAACCCAATTCCTTTAGGATGGGGCCGAGTCAATGATATATAGCCCTGTTTGTCTCACCTCACTTTGCACCTCCACTGCCACTGAGAAGGAAAAACCCGGCCCCTCCCAAAAAAGCCGGGTCCAGTGACCAATACCTCCAAGTACCTGCACAGACACTAAAACCCCACACACCAAGTGCCCTGGAAGAGTCAGCCAAGCACGGGAAGAAGGGAAAACAAAGCTGTCAGCCTGTTTAACAGACAATTTACAACCATTTTAATTGCTTGTTTATTTCCACTGTGTGATACAGTCTTGGCCTTGACCTTGTGCCTGTCAGAGCCTCAGGCTTTCCCCTGGTATCAATTCTGAGATAAGCAACTAGCCCCAGACATTAGACCACGCAGGTCACAAGACTCATGAATACGATGACCGGCCTTCAGGGCCGGTTTCTGCAGCATGGTATACTTGTATGTGTAGGCTTTCTAACATTGTCTTAACCTCTGGTGCTGCAGTTGTTAAAAATATCCCTCTAATTTCACAGTGGGTCCCATAATACAGCCACAGTTGTGAGCTGGAAGATGCATGCTTCTTGGATCACTCAAAGGCACACAAGAAGATCACAAGGATGAATAACACTCTCTGATTCCAGGTCAGGCAGACTCTGGACCAGTCAGTTAATAGGTTGAGAAAACCGTCCCATCTGTGCAGGCTATAGTGAGTACACAGTGCTCCAGCTGTGGTCAAAGTCCCAGAAAGCTACAATTCCTCCAAATCACTGCCAAAAGAACTGTTTAAATCAAAGACCTTTAATAACACTGCTCACAGCCAGCTCCTGACACTGCTCAAGTTCATTAGCATTATGGAGTGATTAGGAGTAATTATTTAAGTGAGGAAAAGGTGCATGTAGCTATACATTATTAAAACAGATGGTGTGAGTGGCTATATGGCACTATTCCATTTGGAGCACAGTATTCACACCAATGCCCCAGTGGCGACAGTGCTATGGGGTGTGCTCTCCTTCAGATGAGACACTGAATTCGAGTCCCGACTACTCTTTGTTGAGAGTAGGGGAGCTAACCGTGGTGTCCCAGCCGAATGCCACTCAGGGCTTGCACAATCTGGCCTAAATGTCAGTTCAAATGGTGAAGCAGCTTCTCACATCTCCTCCTCATCTGCTGTCCTGTGATCCGCTGCAGAAAGCCCACCATCTGGATGCCGCACTTGGTGGTGCAGGATATGGGGCTCTTCTTAAAAGCAGTTTGGGACACTTCTAAATTCACCTAATTAAACCAGAACAGAAACTGCTTCATGGCCTTGTCTGGGAGTGTTTGGCAGCAAACCTGTCCACAGGATAGCACCTCATGACCCAACAGTCTGGCTCATGTACAGCTAGTGAAATGGCCCGCTTTGTGAGTTACAATGTCTCAGCAAAGGATGACAACTGAAAACAAGGCTGTGAGGAAAGAGCCCCCCTATTCTGAGCGGCTTTCTCAAGACAAGCACAGACTTGTTCTGTGGGACTCCGGTTCCACACCTCCCCCTGATCTAGAGAGAGAGAGGATCAGGGACACAGCTGCACTGCAAGAAACACCCTGGGATTAGACAAGCATGCTTCCTCAAAATAACAAATCTAATCCCAGAATTCCCACACCCTCCAGAATCGGACCAGTGATCAATCCTGCCGGGGGAGGAAGATGGAAACTCAGCAGAGCCCAGTGTGTGATCTTCTATAACAGCCTGAGGAACAAGGACTGAGCCTCTCCAACACCTAAATGTTATTGTTGTAAATCTCATTGTCACTGCTTTGGCAACACTGTAATTCATCAGTCAAGGCAATAAAGCTCTTTGAATTTTAAGCTCTTTGGATGAGTGCGAGCTTGAAGATCCACATCCACGCCCATGTTTATGGTTGACAGGCCGGAGAGATAACGGGGCAACAAAAAACCGAACGCCGAACTTCCGAAGAGGGGAGAGGCACAGAGAAAAAGAAAAACAAGAGAAAAACAGAAAACTCCGCACACCCACATCTCACACACAGCACACACATTTTTCCCCCCCATCTTCCGACTTCTACACTCTTTGCTTTTCTTCCTGATGTGCAAAGAGTTCTGTGGCAATCTTGCACTGAGATTGTAGTTATTTTGTCAAAGGTCACAGTTAATCCCGACAAATCTGCAGTTTGTAGCTAACAAGCGGCCTTCTAGTTTTACAGATGCGTACAGTGGAACAAATGAGGTCACTGATGAGGAACATCCAACAAGGCGACATTTAGATCTGATCGGTAAACGTGATGGATTGGCTACTACAACCCTTCTGTAGGCTGCTCCTGCATATATTACCTTGAGTTAATTTCATCACGTTTTTCAAGAGGCTGATCAATGTGCATTAGGATTTGCTAAATGACAAGCTGTGTGTCTTCTAAGCTGTAGCACTAATGGTTAAAGTTGTTAAACTTCAGGGAAGGATTTGAAGGGTAACTCCCGATCACGTCAAAGACTTCTGCACAGCAGTGTGAGTCCCAGAAGAGGACCTGGTTTTCGGATCGTATGAGCCTGGATTAACGTCTTTGATTTATCCGTGTCTGGGGGGCCTTGGCATATTTGTTTATGTCTACAACCTGCGTATGAAGCAACGTGGAGATTTTTCTTTCATTTTGAGCTAGTTCTAACAGGCTATAGTATAAAACTAATGGTTTCCTTACAGACTTAATAAAATACAGGAAACAAAACATTCAAGATAACCTTTTGTCCTTTCCAGGCTAATGTACTTGTCTTTTTTGTGGGTTTTTTACCCGCATGGAACTGACTAAAAATAACTAAAAGCAAATTGCGGTATAATTTATTACAATGCCAATGCTATCTTCCATAAGAAATCAGCTAAGAATGAGACTTCAGAAACGGACGTGCAGCACAGAGAATTCTGTTGTACAGGAAGTTAATGGTTAATTGTGGTGCACTGGGGATAAGACAATACTCCTGCTGGAGAAGGACAAACTGTTCCAAAGTGTATCGATTACAGAGGAGAGGTGTTCTCTCTGACACCGTTCACAGGGCCTCTTGTCTATGGATCTGTCTTTGCAAGCCTTTATTTATGGACCTTTCCACAGAAAGCCAATTGAACTGCAGAACGACAGGATCACCCTGTCCCAGAGCCTTCTCTGCAGTGACTGATGAGCAGCGCTATTCATAGGGATCTCCGATTGCCTCCTGGGGAGGCTCCGACACAGTTATTTATCAGCTCTACTCCAGAGCAGGTCTACACAGAACCTTGTCAGCCACAGGGCTCCCAGCAGACAGCCCTCCAGACGGTGGTGGGCAGAGGTCACGACAAAGAGAGAAACACAGTCGTCTTTCCACAACCCCTCCAACCCACACACTCCAACTCAATCTCCAGGCACAGATCACTAGAAATCTCACACAGGCAACCCGTAGCACACTGCATGTGACATGGCAGCACAATCAAGGTGAAAAAAAAACGTGCTATTTGTTGCACTGGGGTGAAACCTTTGGCATTAATGATGCACTAAGTGGGCTAAACATTTGTGATTATGGGGTGTCTGTATGCTGGGATTCCCAAAAAATATGTTAGTTCCACCCAGACTGATTTTCTGCAGTTTGCACCTAACGTACTCCTAAGAACAATGCAAACAGGATGCTTGTCGGAGTCCTTTTCTTGGGGGATGAACTGTTCTTTATCTCTTTTGTTCTGCTATGCAAATTTTCGACCATCACATTACAACAAGCTGGGCAGAATTCTCATGCATCCAGTGCCAGCTCCCAGGCTCTGCCCCTGCGGCAGGGTGCTGTGCTGCAGAGTTTACAGGGGAATGGCAAGGGTATTTTTTATATTTCCGAGTTACAAAGAATCAGGATGGCGTTTCAAACCACAATTAAAGTAAAATGTAAAAGTAGACAAAACATCCAGGTAAAGCTCAGCGCCATGGACTGTGACTCAGAACGAGGCAACAAAACCTCCAGTAATGTGATGTGGCCTTATGACATTGTAAACAAGCATGCTTGTGAATACATCTCTTTCAATGCAATAGAAATATTGGTCTCGACTTCAAGATAGTTTTGCCGACATATACTTATACTTGTTAACGGTGCCTGCGGATCACATTGGAACACTTCTGTGGTGAAGGATCTGCTGTATCACCTGTCTTATGGTCAGAAATAGTCATTACAGTTACTAGCGAGTGGGAAGGGCAGCATCTCATGGCAATTTGTGGGAGCTCGAAGGCGAGTTGCATATACATGGCGACTTAGAGTACTTTAACAAAGTTCACGATTTTGCTCTTAATTCAACATTTAGATTTTATTCTATAATGTCAATGAATTTATGGTGTTACCACGATTTAATAACCGGTCTGACAAATTGGGGCTGGAGTTCCCCTTTAACACTAAACCCTGAGAGTGGACACGACAGGTCAGCTGGCTCTCTAGTAAGGAAAGGCCCGACACCCGCTCCAGGGACACACTGCCTTAGTGAACTAGGACCCCAGTTACCACCTGAAGAGAGCAACTGGCATTCTCACACCACTTGTGCTCCAGCCAATTTCCTCACTGAAATCTAGCTGCTGTCCTGGGAAATAATGGAAAAACTATTAATAAAGCAAAACCCAGTTTTTAATGCAACCAACATTGGCTCGTGGCAGTGTTCAGACTCCCCCTCCCCCGTTCAGATTCAGCTCAAGTGGGGGCTGAACAGCACTCTGCAGAATCGCAACACAAGACACACAGGCTGCACTCCAGTCCTCGATGGGCTTTTCCTGAAGCTTCTCTTAGCGGCTGCACAGAGCGGCAACTGTGCGCTCCTGACCTCGGGGTCAACTGAGATCTCACTGGAAACCACTTTACCCCACTCGCAGAGAATAGCGCTGACTTTCAAAAGCATGGGGAAACAAAAACTCAGTGATGCAGACAACACCTGACAAATCAACCCCTCTAGGCAAGTGCACAAAATCGGACACAATACACAGAAAAATCCAAGGGCCCGTCAGAACGCTGGCCAATCAGGCATGGTTATGCTCTTGCTGGAACTCTCGCCAGACAACCATCAAAAAAGCTGGTTTGTGGAAATACAGGGAGGGAACAGTGGCGGTGAAAGAGTCCTCTCTGATCTGAGAGCAAGTGAGCAGCACAGAGCCTAGTACAGTGTGTTCGGCACCAGGTCACATGACCCGACAGCTAATACCAGCGACAAATCTCCCAGAGCAGGTAATCTCCATGTGACCTCCAGGAGCCAGGAGAGAAAGCACCACTGAAGGGTACTTTACACTGGCAGAACAGTATCACGCCGGCTGTCCCTCTGCCTGGTTTTCACATTCCAGAACCACCACCACAGTCTCTGAGACACACAACCCCCGGGCCGAGGCATCAGATAACAAAACGGCAGAAGAAATGAAGCAGCCTACGACCTCTGGACATGAAGGGTTGATTTTTCAGCCGGCTGCGCAAAATGCCATTCCACATTTTACCCCGCGGCACACATCTGTGAAACGCCAACCAGCACATACTTTTTCGTCTTCTACAGAACGTGCTTAGCTTTGGTAGTTAAACATCAAACTATGTTAGAAACAAAAGATCAGTGCAAGAAATCTCATCTGTTGCCAAAAAAAACACATTCCAAAACGCCATGTCCATCTCCTGTAGCACTCTTGTACAGTGATGCGCAGCCATAAACAGTGTTACAGATACTGCAAAGCACTTGGTACTCAAATCATAAAACCTCAAGCAACTTAATGAATCTCTTAACTTCCTGCCACCCCCCCCTCCCCCCCCACGACTTACCAGGCAGCCTGTTCATATTGACGCCTTGGGCAGACAGGCCGATTCCCATGTACCTGCAAAGAAGGAGAGGGGGCACCATTAGCACAGCGCTGTCTGAGTGGTGCGACTCGGAGACTGACCAGGCAGGCAGGGAAACTGGCGGCCTGGGTGCCTCACAAGGTACGAGGAGCAGGAGCAGGACAGTGAGCATGACATTAACAGCTGGGCGCGGGAATGCTCCCACGAGGGGTCTCCTGGAGTCCAGGGACAGAGCACCGGCAAGAAAACATCACCAAAGCCAATCGGGAAGCCATTACAGCTGCAAGACGAATCGAGAGGGGTACGCCTAACAGAGAAAGCACAGGCCAGCTGTTGCGCGGGCCTAGTCGCATCTCAGCTCGGTCCCAACGGCTGGAAATGAGCCTCAGGCCCCCGTGAGGAGCATGAGAGTGGACAGAGCCCTGGCGATGGGCTCTACAGATAGCAGAACCACCGACGGGCAGCCAGGACAGCTGGGCCCTCAGGAATCGCGGCTCCACAGCTGAAACGGCTCGTGAACGAAAGGCAAGGGGGAACCAGCCCTGCTCCCTTACCCATCCCTCCCTTTGCTGACGATCTTCACTTCGAAGTAGTAGATGCCGCAGGCGGCCGGGATGGGGTGGGTGGCCCGGACCGACGCCGCGTCCTTGTGGTTCTTCCCGTGACCTGCGGGACCAGGAGAGAGAGACAGCGATGGGCCAGATGGTTCTGCCGATAGTCCAGGGGTCCGGAGGCCTGAGTGACACATGCTTGACAGGATTCGCACCGAGCAGGAACATCAGCTTCTATTATTTTCCAGCAATTCCGTAATTTGTCAATTATTAATGAAATGCCGATAATTCAGCAGTATTAAAGTGAGATGGCTGCCTTTAAGGGTAGTATATAAACCGAAGCTGATTACTGTTTGTCCCAGTACAGCAGGGCCACTGGGAGTGCGAGCAGTGACTGGACAGCTCCAGCCCCAGAGGTCTGACTACTGCCCCTGGGGGGTCAACTCAGGGCAGGGGGAAAGGTCAAAGGTCATGGGCATGACATTCCCCTCCAGGCTGCTGGGATCGTTATGGTTGATATTTTAGGTATTGCAGCTTTCTAAATCTCCCTTCAGCACTATTGTAATATAAAAAAGCACAGGCTCGGGACTCTGCATAAACAAAGAAATGTGACAATGGCTCAGGTTTATGGTGTGCAGCGCCTGCGCACGTCAGGGCAAAAAGAAAATGCTCTAGAATCAAAAGCAACCTTGTGGAAAAAAAAACATGCATCAGAAGAACTGTATTCTATTTATACAGAGAACAGCAGATAAAAGATTCTTCCAGGAATCATCTGCCAAGACTATAGTACATCTGCCACAGCCGAGTTGAGAGAACAATGTTTCAACACAATGGACAAGCAAAGCCTGCTGTCTGCATCCCGAAGATTTCCAGCCCTCCGTCAGCGCGTGGGGATAAATATGTACACTGGTCAGTGACTCAGAGGGGCTGAACATCAGCCAGGCCTGGTCAGATGGCTGTGCACTGTGAAAGCAAAACCTATTTATAATAATTCCTTAAACTTATATAGCACTTTCTGGACACTCCACTCAAAGCGCTTTACAGGTAATGGGGACTCCCCAGTGTGAAGCCCCCACCTGGATGATGTGATGGCAGCCAGTACACTCCCCACACATCAG